CACTGGTTGTCATAGTGGTTAGAAAGCCTGTAATAGGTGTTAGCACCTTACTACGTAACAATTCGCTTCCTTTCTTCCCGGGCTTAGGCTTGATTGGTTAAGATGTTGACAATTGCTATACTACATCCCTAGTTCAATGCTCCTCTTGAACTTAGCGAAAAAAGAAAAGGAAGTTGTTTGAAAGGGGGCACTTTTACAAAATAATTGCTTGATTTAGTCATTTCTGCAAAAAGATGGAGATTGGATAATTATCTTGTTTTCTTTATAAATGATAATTGCATGCATACCTTCTTGGTATTTGTGCACACGCGCACACACATGCCAAGGGAGAATAACTAGGAGCATGCTTTCTTGTCGCGAAGTTTTTTAGATAGGTTCTCTTTGAAAATCCTGCTCCTTCGTTAATTCCCAAAAAAGTACTAAAGATTTAGAATATGCTTCTATATGATATGAAATGAAAGAGGCTTGATCCAAGTTATCAACTTATCATAGAAATTCTTTCTAAAATATAAACTCCCATCAGAGCAATTAAACGCCTTCCCGACAATAGACGTATCTTACTCATTGGATACTTCCTCAATATCAAAGCATATTTCAATGGCCTCCATATAGCAATCACTGCTTGATGAGGACAGGGTTTATACATCATTACTGAACTGATGTACAAGTCTCTCACCTCTGTACTTGACTATGAAGAGCCGCACCATAATCTTGTGACTATAAAATCATGAGTAACTGAAAGTAGACAGGCGTGTCACATTCATAGTTCAATCACCAAGATGTGCTAATTCCTGGCAATATGTATACCGACATGGATAACGACACGGATTTTGTGTTAAGTAAATGCCTTGGGTGTCTAAGTACTTCAGTGCAGAAATCTAGTACGGCCCCGAGACGTCCTTAAAATAATTTCAGAATAAAATAAATTTATTTTATATATAAATCACAAAATAATTTCAGAATAAAATAAATTAAAATTATAAAATAAAAATATATAACTTAAAAGTTAAAGTTTCTCATCCAAGAAAATAAAATATATATTTGTTTCTATTCTTTTATTTTAAAAAGATGCTTCTTAAACTTTATTGGTAATACCATTTTGTATAATGCATGTCAAACATCTGTGATAATTGTGTTGGTAAAATTATTGATATTATATTCCAAGAAGGATCCTATCTCAAATAAATTTATGACTATATTAACTTGATAATAAGTAAATAACAAATGCATATTAAGATATGAAAGGGACTTCATTTTTATTTCAAGTCCCTTGTCATATCATTGAACTACACTTTTTATGAGTTCTATGATGGCAAGATTTCCGATCGATAGGTGGGATAAGAATAGGATGGATAGAGTCATTGCCTTCATCAACCGGGCATTGGCGAAGCCACAGGGGGTTTATCAGGAATGGAGTCAATTGTTTAAATTCACTGCATGTTTGACTTCCCATGTGATGACATTTTAATTTTTTGTATTATAATAAATGCACCATCAAAAGGAGCATTTATAATTGCAGTCAACTAGTATAATAATTTTGGAAAGAAAGACGACTCTAGTTGATGGCCCTGTGATTTTTGCCTTTTAATGTCACATTGTGAGGTAGTGGCTACAAATCCCATGAATGATAATTGGAGCAAAGGATAATTCGTGTTTAGCTAGTAGATTCGTCTTATTTAAGTACAAACATAGCGCATTATATTTTTTATCTGAAGACATGATGGAAAAAGAGGAATGGGAAAGAAGAGAATCAGAATCATGTTCAGGCAGATAGTACACATACGAATTACATGTGAGTCCTGTGTCAAGGCATATCTGTCCGCACATGCATGTGTCGAAATGGACCCCAAGGGAAAATGAGATGTTAGTATGATATTGCTTCCTGGCATGGTTTAGATTTCTGGGCAGAGGGCATGACAATTGTGGGAAGCCTAGTCAGTAAAACTCTTTTATTAAAGTAACTGTTTTAAGTTTTTCATACACAAATTGCAGTGTACTGTATACTCTGCGCAGACTTGGAAAGAGTCTTCCATAATCAAAAGAGGCTGCTCAATCTAAAAAAATGAATATCTTTTTGAATTAAGGTCACTGTATTACATAGGTCTTTTAAGTGTTACATACACAAATTGCAATATACGGTATACTGCATACAAAGTTGGAAAGAAGCTTCCTGTAATTAAACTCGCAGTTGACTTCATACTTCATGGTGGATTGAGCACTAGAAATGTCATAACTGCCCTTGTTTAGCCAAGCCAACCACAATGGTATTAGCCTTTTGACATTTATGATGAATTGCAATGTTCCGAGAATGGATCACAACAATTTTGTGACCTCTGTGATGGAGCATGTTTGGTTAGAGGTCACTTAGAACTGTTTAAAACTTTCAAGTTTCGACAATTTAACTTAATTCAAGATGCCCCTCCCATAGTTACCAACAGTTTTTGACTTGGCCAACAATTTAATTCGCCTTAAATACCATCCCTGATTAGACTTGGAAGTATGAGATTCTAGAGTAACCTATCATCCATCAAGTGATGCATATTCTTTCTATTGTCGTATTTCATACAAAAATTACTGCGTGGTGTATCATAGGAGATACTTTCCAACATATCTTTTTTTTTATTAGGCACTCGCACATTTCTTTATTATTAGGAGCTTTTTATTTATGAAATATCTTTGTGGTTAATATAAAGGATGGAGTTTCTGAGTCCCCACCTCACATGTACATGTGCACCCCCCTACACGTCTTAGAGCTGGATTTTGAATTTAATTTTTTAAGAGATTCATAGTCCAGGCCATGGTCATCTTGAATATAAAAAGAACGCAATTTTTTCCGCACCATCTGTTTTGGTTGCCTTTTTCTCAGTGTATGGACGTCGGATGGTCGGGGGACCGCATGAGTTCCCTATCTTATATAACACTTTCCGTAATATAAATACTGAGAAATTGTAGAATATGGCCATCATTTATCCTCTACTCTTTAGTGCAAAACTCAATTATTGCTGAGTTCATTTTTTGTCTAATGATCTGGAAAGATGATAGAAAAGATGACAGAAAGATGACTCATATGTTTGAAGTGACTGTATTTTGGAGGATGATTGCATTTTTGTATTTGCTACTATTTAATGGAAAGAATAGGAGTAAGCTCAAAAGAACATGGTTGGAAGTAGTGAGAAAAGATATAGCGATTTATAGGCTCACTAAGGGTTTGGCCTTTGATAGAGTAGAATGGTAAATCAAGATTTGTGTAGACATCCCCCAATAGTTGGAAAGGACTCTAGTGATGGTGATGTTGATGAAATGAAAAGGCCACCGTTTCAAAAAGCGGACCGCCCAGCATTGGACGGCCACCAGGCGGATATTCCTAGGCGCCCGCTTGAACCCGTCTAGGCGGCCGCCCAGGGCATGCGTTCTGTTCAGGGGTACAAATGTGGCTCCTTGAGGATATTTTTGGATCTTTTTTTTAATATTAAAGAGACAAATCTGAAACCCATTAGAGGTTATATAGATAGAAAAAAAAATTCGACTAGGCCACCTGGGGTTTTGGCGCCCGCCTAGGCACTGGGTTAAAATTTTGAAAAATATATATAAAGAGAGAGTTGGACTTCTTCAGCCACATTATGTAGTTCTCTTTATAAGTTTGGAAAATAGCTAGAGGCATATTCTTCAGGGAAAGAAAATAGATGTTGTAATGATGTTGATGGCATCTCTCTCTATCCCCCCCTACACCTTTTCCCCAAATGAAAATAATAAGATATTAAAACAAAATCTCTCTCTCTCTAAATGGAAATAATAGCTTATTAAAAGAAAACTCTCTCTCTCTCTCCATGGAAATAATAAGATATTAAACCAAAAATTAAATTCCCATAGTTTAGCCTTTGGGTTAATGGATAAGACATCGATTTTGCATTTCCTAAAACGGCATTGGGTTAGGAAACCAAGTAAACCCACCAAAAAAAAAATAGGAACCGGATTTATTTATGATCCGTACTTGATTATTGTCAAACAATTGTCGATCTGGATCGAAATCGTCCAATCTAAATCGAAAATCGTCTTAAGCTATTCAGATCTCATAATACATCGAGAACCCACTGTGTTCCCCGGAGCTAACGTGCACCACACATGCATACGCAAGCTCCCTCATGAAAGCCATTACGTGTCATCAGACATTAGTGTTGGGTTGTCAGGTCTTATAGTGGTGTTTCCTCCCACAAACCTTATAGGATAATTGTTTTAGGCTTTTAGCTTTTAGCTTTTTCTTTCATCTCTAGCATTTCATTATGTTGGGGTGAATAACTCTGGCCTAATAAACTATGGTGCGAATAATAATAGTTTATGAGATATTTTAAAAGAAAAATAATAATGGCTATGGGGTATTTTAAAAAAAAAATACACTAACTTATGGGATATTTAAAAAGAAAAGAATAATATTAGCTCATAGGACATTTAGAAACAAAAAATACCACTTGCTCATGGGGCACCTTTAGTCCATATGCACACTTCAAAATTTGCTTTCAAATTGTTTTATATGTTATTCTTCATTGGAAGAATTAATTTATTTATTTAATTTTTTACTTCTATTAAAACATGATTATAAATTCATATTTTCAAAT